CTGCTTATTGTGCTTCTGCAGCTGCTGTTGCTTGGACTGCTGCTGCTGCTGCTGTTCACTCTGCCGCTGCTGATGCTGCTCAGTATGCTGCTGTTGCTGCTGCTTCCGGACTACTGCTGCTGCTGATTGTGCTGCAGCTGCTGCTTTGTCTGCTGCTTCTGCTGCTGTTCGCTCAGCTAGTGCTCATCTAGCTGCTGCTGCTGCTGCTCATCCTGCTGCTACTGCTGCTGTTGCTGTTCATCCTGCTGCTGCTTCTGCTGCTCACTGTGCTGCAGATACTGCTGCTGATCGTGCTGCTGCTGCTGGCCGTGCTGCTGCTGCTGCTGCTGCGGATTCGCTGCTGCTGCTTCGCTGCTGCTGCACCTTCACTACCTCCCACTAATATCAAATTATCTGCAATTAATTATCGTTAAATAATTAATTAGTTACTTTTATTTATTTATTTATTTATTCATTTATTTATTTATTATGCTTTAGGCCCTGCCGACGTGCTGCTGTGGCTGGACCGGCAGGTGGAAGCAAAGAGCAGCAGCACAGCTCCAGTGTCTTTGTCTGTTGCTGCCAGCAGCAGCAGCAGCAGCAGCTACCTGTACAGCAGCAGCAGCAGCAGCTACTGGTACAGCAGCAGCAGCAGCCAGCAGCAGCAGCAGCAGGGGGGCCCCCGCCTCCCCCTCTATGACCGCATTTTCCTTATAGGGCTGGGGGCCCCTGCAGCAGCAGCTTCTGCCCGGCTTTGTGCTGCTGTTGCAGATGTGCTGCTGCAGCGCAGCGCAGCAGAAGCAGCAGAGGCGGAGCTGCTGCTGCTGCTGCAGCAGCAGCAGCGCGCGCAGCAGCAGCTGGGGCTCTCCGCTGCTGCTGCTGCTGCTGCTGCAGCTGGAGACTTCAACGCCCTCGACAGAGACAGCAGCAGCAAAATCGAAAATTATAAAAAGAAAGCAGCAGCAGCAATTCGAAAAAATATCAAAGTTGCTATAATTGACTCGAGACGGCCCGTGCTGCCAGCTCTAATCAAGGTAACACCATCACCTGCTGCTGCTGCTGCTGCTGCTGCCGCTGCTGCTGCTGCTGATTTCGGTGCTGCTGCTGCTGCAGGTGCTGCTGACTCCGTTGCTGCTGCTGCTGGAGGTGCTGCTGACTCTGTTGCTGCTGCTGTTGCAGCTGTTGCCATTGCTGCTGCTGCCGGTGCTGCTGCTGCTGCTGCTGCTGCTGCTGATTGAGTCTGTGCTTCTTATGCTGCAAAGACCTTACTGTAGCTAGCTAGCTGGCTAGCTAGCTAGCTGTCTGGCTAGCTAGCTAGCTGGCTAGCTGGTTAGCTGCGGCTAGCTGGGCTGCTGCTGCTGCCTCTGACAGCGCTGCAGCAAGCAGCAGCTCAGCTTCCTTTGCTGCTGCTCTACTTGCTGCCGTTTTATTTGCTGCTGTTTTACTTGCTGCTGTGTTATTTGCTGCTGCTTTATTTGCTGCTGTGCGCGCAGGAGGAGCAATTTTTGTTGCTGGTGGAGCCCGGAGAAGCAGAAGAAGTGGAAGCAGCAGCAGCAGCAGCAGCAGCAGCAGAAGCCGGCAGCAGCAGCAAAGGCTCCCACTGCGGCAAACCCCAGGCGATGCTCCTGGCCATGGTCGGTCTGCTGCAGCTGCTGCTGCTGCTGCAGCAGCTGCTGCAGCAGTTGCTGCTGCAGTTGCTGCGGCTGCTGCTGCGCGTCATCACTGCGCCACTGCTGCTGCTGCTCTACGTGACTGTGCTGCTGCTGCTGCTGCTCTACGTGACTGTGCTGCTGCTGCTGCTGCTGCTGCTGCAGTTTGCTGCTTGCGTTGCTCATTTGCGCGTGAGCATAATAAAAGCAGCGAAAGATTTATTTAAAAAGCAAAAACAAATGAAATAAAATAAAACAAATGAAATAAAACAAAATAATTAAATGAATTAAATGAATTATTAAATGAATTAAATAAATCAAAACGTTTGCTGCTTTGCTGCAGGCGCTGCGGCCTTTGTACCCAATAGAGGGCAGCGTCTGCTGCTTCTTAGCTGCTGTTGCTGCTGCTGCTGCGCTGCACTTGGGGTGTATAGACAGCGAAGAACACAACGACTGGGTCCTTTCCATCCGAGCCGTCAACGTCTCCTCCTTGTCAGTCTCACCCCTGGCTAGCTAGCTAGCTAGCTAGCTAGCTAGCTAGCTAGCTAGCGAGCTAGCTAGCTAATTAGTAGTTAGCTAGCTAGCTAGCTAGCTAACTAGTAGTTAGCTAGCTAGCTAGCTAGCTAACTAGTAGTTAGCTAGCTAGCTAGCTAGCTAATAAGTAGCTAGTTAGGCAGCTAGCTAGCTAGCTAGCTAATTAGTAGCTGGCTAGCCAGCTAGCTCGCTAAGTGGTAGTTAGCTGGCTAGCTAGCTGGCTAATTCGTAGTTAGCTAGCTAGATAGCTAGCCAATTCGTAGTTAGCTAGCTAGCTAGCTAGCTGGTTAGCTAGCTGGCTGACTAGCTAGCTAGCTGACTAAGCAGCTGGCTGGCTGTCCAGCTAAATGGATAAATAGGTGGCTGGCTAGCTAGCTAGCTAGCTAGCTAACTAACTAAATGACTAGCTAGCTAGTAATTGTTTATTTAATCGTTAATTAATTGATTATTTAATTTTTAATTTTAATTTTATTATCTTTTTTTGCTGCAGCCCTTTTGTCGAAGACGACGCCGACGCTGGTCTGCTGCCGCTGCTGCGGAACGGGTGGGGCCAATAAACAAATAAAAATAAATAAATAAATAAATAAATAATTAATTAAATAATAATGAATAATGAATAATAATAATAAATGATGATAAATAGATTAATAAATTGATATATAGAGCTGCACAGACCAGCAGCAGCAGCAGCAGCTGCTGCTGCCGTCCCTGCTGCTGCTGCTGGCTAGCTGGCTAGCTAGCTAGCTAGCCAAGTATCTGATAGCTTATCGGGCAGCTAGCTAGCTAGCTGGCGAAGCAACTGCTAGCTAGTCAGGGAGCTAGCTAGCTGGCCAGCCAAGCAGCTCCACGGCAGCAGCAGCAGCACCAGCAGCAGCAGCAGCAGCAGCGGCTGCGGGAGTTGGGGTGTACGTACAGCTGCTTGGCGCAGTCGCTGCAGCTGAGCTGCGACCTTTTCGTAAGACAGAAGCAGCAGCAAAGAGGCCCTTGGCGGCAGCAGCTGCAGCAGCTGCAAAACAAACTCAGAGTTAGCTGCGGCATTGAGTGCCACGCCATGCAGCACCACTTCTCAGGACTCTCTGCAGTGAGCTGCTGCTGCTGCTGCTGCTGCTGTAGGTGCTGCTGCTGCTGCTGTGGGTGCTGCTGTGGGTGCTGCTGCTGCTGTGGGTACTGCTGCTGCTGTGGGTACTGCTGCTGCTGTGGGTGCTGCTGCTGCTTTGTGTACTGCTGCTGCTGCTGTAAGTGCTGCTGCTGCTGCTGTTACGCGTGTGTGCTGCAGCAGCTTACTGCTGCTGCTGCTGCTGCTGCGGTGGGTGCTGCTGGTGTTGCTGAGTAGTGCGTCTGTGGGCGCTGCTGCTGCGGGTGTTGCTTCTGCTGCTGCAGTGGGCGCTGCTGTTGCGGATGCTGCTGCTGTGACTGCTGTCTGAACAGTTGCTGCTGCTGCTGCTGCTGCTGCTGCGAGCAGTCGCCTGTCTGCTGCTGCCTACGGCTCTACAGATCCAGCTAGAAAATCTCTCATCTTCAATAAAGTAATTGATATTAAACAATAAATATATAGATAATTAATTAATTAATTAATTAATCAATTAATTAATTGATTAATTGGTGGAGAACTGCGGTGCTGCTGCTTTCTGCTGCAGCGGCAGCAGCAAACGGTTTTCAATTACCTCAGGCAGACCCTCTCGCTGCCTGACAGACTCTGCATTAACTGGATTAGACACACTGATGACGTAAGCAGCAACAGCAGCAGCAACAGCAGCAGCAGCAGCAGCAGCAGCACCAGTAGTAGTAGCAGCAGCAGCAGGAGTAGCAACAGTAGCAGTTGTGTTTGGGCTTTCGGCGCTGGGTCTTCGGTTGTTGCTGAGCTGCTCATACTCTCCATGCGGCTCTTGCTGCTGCTGCTGTTGCCGTTGCTGCTGTTGCTGCTGTTGCTGCTGCTGCTGCTGCGACAGGCAAAGCATCGGGGGAGCTTTTCTTCAGTGCCGAGCACAGACGCCGCCTGGCTGCTGGCTGCTGTCCTGTCTAAATGGCGCAATGGTGAGACAGCAGCAGCAGCAGCAGCAGGAGTAGCAGCAGCAGCAGCAGCAGCAGCACGGGCTGCTGCAGCCAGTGTGCTGCTGTTTGCTGCAGAGGAGGACCCGCTCTTGGCCGCTCGCCGCAACGCCGTGGACGCCCTGCAGCTTCTCAAAAGGTACTGTTGCCTGCAGCAGCAGCAGCAGCAACTTCAGCAGCAGCAGCAGCGACAGCAGCAGCAGCAGCAGGGTTTGCTGCAGCATGTGTGTGCAGCCTCACCACGGCGTCCATCACAGAGAAGGCAGCAGCGCTGCAGCAGCTCCAAGAGGGGCAGCGGCTGCTGAAGTCGCAGCTGGCCCAAATATTCATGCAGGTAAACCCTAAAATAGGGTTTAGGTTTAGGGTTTGGCGGTTAGGGTTTGCGGTTTTACGGCTGAGGCTTTGAAACTCAGGCCTTGAGGGTTTATCGCAAAGGATGTACACATTCAGGACTTATTTTCACGTCTTCTGGCTCAAGAGTTTAGGGTTTAGGGTTTAGGGTTTAGGGTTTAGGGTTTGGGGTTTGCGGCTGCAGATGGACTTGCTGCGCTGCAGCACTTCTCAGAACTTGCTGCTGCTGACAGTTCGGCACTGTCCGCCCTTTGCTGCTTGTTCTTTTTATTTGCGGCTGCTGTGCGTTTTAGCTGCGCAGCAGCAGCAGCAGCAGCAGCAGCAGCTGCGGGGGGGGGGCCCCGAGCTGCTGCCCTGCGTGCTGCTGTGCCTCACAGAGGGGGGCCCCCAGAGGGGCCCCCCGGGGGGCCCCCAGGGGGGCCCCCCCGGGGCCCCCCGGGGGGCCCCTGGGGGCCCCCAGGGGGGCCCCCAGCAGCAAGCTTTAATATACTGCTGCAAACTAAAAGCCAGCAGCTACAGTCCTGACCTTTTCCCCGAAGTGCTGCTTGCTGTGGAGCGCCTCAGCAGCAGCAGCAGCAGCAGCAGCAGCAAAGTGGTGCAGCGGGACCCCCAAGACCTCAATTTGCTGCGGCTCGCAGTGCCCCGCCTGGGCCCCGATGTGCAGCGGCAAATTGCTGCACTTTATTTGGAAGCAGCAAGGAAGCAGCAAGATGCAGCAGGAGATGAAGACTTGCTGGAGGAGCTGCTGCCTTCTGCTGCTGCTGCTGCAGCAGAAGAGGAGGAGGAGGAGGAGGACGAGGACGAGGAGCAGCAGCAGCACGAGCAGGACTCTGATGACGAAGCAGCAGCAGCAGCAGCAACAGAGGATGAAGAGGAGGAGGAGGAGCAGCAGCAGCACGAGGAGAATACAGATCAAGAAGCAGCAGCAGAAGCAGCAGCAGAAGAAGCAGCAGCAGCAGAGTCAGACACAGACAGCGACGCTGCAGCAAATGCCTAAAGACTGCAGCAATAAGGCAACTGAGGATTATGTGGAGGCCTCTAAAAGCGGCAGATGGCCCCAGAAGCGACAGCAGCAGCAGTGCAGCAGCAGCAGCAGCAGCAGCAGCAGCCGGACAGCAGCTGCAGCAGCGCAGTACCAACAGAAGCAGCGCAGCAACAGCAGCAGCACTGCAGCAGCAGCAGCAGCCACGTAGCAGCAGCAACAGCGCAGCAGCAGCAGTAGCGCAGCAGCAGCAGCAGTGCAGCAGCGCAGCAGCAACAGCAGCAGCAGCGCAGCTGCAGTGGCAGCAGCAGTGGCGCAGCAGCAACAGCAGGAGCGAAGCAGCAGCAGCAGCAGCACAGCAGCAGCAGCATTAGCGCAGCAGCAGCAGCGAAGCAGCAGCAGCTCAGCAGCAGCAGCAGCAGCAGAAACAGCGCAGCAGCAGCAGCAGCATCAGCGCAGCAGCAGCAGCAGCAGCGCAGCAGCAGCCAGCGTTTAAACCTGTTCATAATAGATCAAAATAACCATTATGATAATAATTATAATATATGTAATTAATTAATTATAATTAATTAATTATATTTTATTAATTATATTTAATTAATTATATTTAATTAATTATATTTAATTATTATCTTGCCATCTGCCCATTTACCTCCCGCTGCGCTGCAGCAGCAAATGACGCTTTTAGCGTTTTGGAACTTTTGGACAAAATGATTTAATTTAATTTGATTTTATATTTCATTATTTATTTATTTATTTATTTATTTATTTATTTATTCATTTTTATTTGTTTACTAATTTTTATCTGTTTATTTGTTTTATTTGCTTTTATTTGTCTTTCGCTTTTATTTGCATTAAATAACAATATTTATCTTTGTTGAAGAGTTTCAGTTCCATTCGCTTGAAGTGGTTTTGCTGCTGCTGCTGCTGCTGCTGCTGCTGCTGCTGCTGCTGTTGCTGCTGTTGTTGCTGCTGCTGCTGCGGTTCGTTGTCCTTTAACATTTCTAGTTTATTTATTTCTTTTTTTATTTTTATTTTTATTTTTATTTTTCATTTTTTGGTTTATCTGTACTCTAGGGCCGGTGTGGTATCTGTACACCTCAGCTGCAGCAGCAGCAGCAGCTGCTGCTGCTGCTGCTGCTGGGGCTGTGGGGTTTGTTTCTGCTACTGAAGCAGCTCTTGTTGCAGTTCTAGCCGCTGCTGCTGCTGCTGCCGCTGCTGCTGCTGCTGCTGCGCGCCTAGTGATGGAAGTGCACGAGGTGGTCTGGTGCCATATCGCTGCAGCAGTAGCAGCAGCAGAAATAGCAGCAGCAGCAGCAGAAGCAGCAGCAGCAAGAAAAGCAATATATTTTCCCTTTCAGAGGCGCAGAATTCAAGAGCCGTGCAGGAGCTGGAGCTGCTGCTGCTGCTGTCGCCTTTGTTGCTGCTGCTGTTGCTGCTGCTTCCTTTCCTGCTGTTTGTGCTGCTGCTGCGTATGCTGCTCCTGCTGTTCTTGCTGCTGCTGCTGCGGCCAGCAGCAGCAGCAGTAAGACGACGCAGAAGCAGTTGTGCTGCTGGATCTTTTATTCTCTAGTGAAATTATTTATTTAATTTTAAAATGAATTCTTCATTAAATTAGTTTTAAATTAATAATTTTATTTATTTTATTTTCTTATTCATTTAAATTAATTCATTTTAATTAACTTTCTGCTGCAGCACAAAATGGCAGCAGTGGCTATCTGTTTCTTCGATAAAAATTAAAAATGAATTTAATCTAAATAAATATTTAAAGTAAATTAATTATCAAATAAATAGATATGAATTTAATTTAGTTAAAATTAAAATTAAAATTAAACTGATTCTTAAAGAATGAATAAATATGAATTTAATTATTAGTTTGGGGTGTACACGAGCTTTACTGAAATGCATTTATTAACCAAATATTCTCCATTTTGTTTATTTCTGATTTATTTGTTTTATTTTTATTATTTTGAATTAATTTATTATTTAAATATTTTATTTTAAACTTATTTACTTTTTATATTTCATTTATTTCTCCTTTTCCACTCACGCTTTCTTGCGCTCGACAGTGGTCACCCGAGATCAGCGCTGGCGGAAAAGAAGCCTCTTTTGGCTGAAATTTCGCTCTAAAAGTGAATTAAATGTTTTAAATTGTTTTATAAATTAAATTTAATTAATTTTGGAGTTCTAATTTATCATTTAAGTGGCAAAAAGAGGAAAAAAGAGAAAATAAAACCCCGGCGGGACCACTGGGCAACTGACCGTCGAGCACAGAACTCCCGGGTGTATGTACAGCTTTCTGCTCGTTGTTATGAATCATTTTTGAATTGAATTTCATTTAAAGTTCATTTAAAATTATTTTAAAAGAATATTTGCGAAAAAGAAAAGAGTTCGGGGGCCTTATAGACGCAGACCCTCAGCACTGCCACTTAAAGCGAAGTGCCCCCGCGGGGCTTTCGCTATTTTTCGCTTTTTCTCCAGCTTTAGTTCACAAAATAGTTTAATCTGTGGATAAAAACCCTAAACCCTAAACCCTAAAATTAAATGAATATAAAAGGACAAAAAGAAAAACAAACAGCTCAGCCGCAACCCCTGAGGTGTACGAGCATTTCTGCATGCAAGTTACACCCTTGAGGTGTACGTACACCCAAATAAAACTGCGCCAAAAGCTCAAATTGCAAAATAAATAGACACTTCTTTAATTCTTCTCTAAAACTATTGCAAAAGACACCGCTGCAGCAGCAGATTTCCTGCTGCGCTGCCGCTGCTGCTGCTGCGCTGCTGCTGCTGCGCTGCTGCTGCTGCGCTGCTGCTGCTGCGCTGCTGCTGCTGCGCTACTGCTGCTGCGCTGCTGCTGCTGCGCATTATTTTGCAAAGAAATAAAAAGAGCCCTTAGAAGTATTTTGTGTATCTTCAGCTTTATATGGATTCATTAATCATTATTTTATTTCTAGTCTTTAATATTTGTTTATTTGTAGTTATTTGTTTATTCACTTGTTTTCCACGAAGCTATGCATGCATGCATGCACGCACGAATGCATGCATGCATGCATGCATTTATAAACAAATAGATAACATACACTTCTTTATAAATAAATGTATTATTTATTTGTTTATAAATGAATATATATTATTTATTCGTTTATAAATAAACAAACATTATTTGTTTGTTGTTCAACAAAACAAATATAACAAGTAATTCAAAGATATATGTCCATTTAATGAATTTTCAAAATTATTTAAACTTCCATTTTTATTTTTTTAAAGAAAGGCTGCAGAGATTTGCTGCTGTCTGGCTTACTTTGGTTATTTAATTATTAATTATTTTTAAATTATTTTTTAATTATTTAGTTATTTATTTCATTGTTTTATTTAATTATTTTTAATTTTGTTTTTGTAGCTGCATCGGTCAAGAATTAAATCTTTATTTTATGAGTAGGGAGGGAATGCAGCAGCAGCAGCAACAGCAGGAGCAGCAGCAACAACCGCAACAGCAGCAGCAGCAGCAGCAGATCTCCAGCTTGCAGCCAAACCAAACTTCAAAAATCAGTCAAGAAAGTAACAAAGACACACATGAAAACAAGGTAGCAGCGACACTCGCCGCTGCTGCTGCTGCTGCTGCTGCTGCTGCTGCTGCTGCTGCTGCTGCTGCTGCTGCTGCTGCTGCTGCCGCTGCTGCTTAAGTGACAATTGCTGCAAGAAACAGCTGCAGCTGAGACAGCAGCGCCTGCTTCTGCAGAAGCAGCAAGAGCTGCTGCATCAAGTGCAGCAGCAACAGCAAAACCTGCTGGTGGATCTTCAGCAGCAGCTGCTGCCGGAGCTGCTGCAGCTGCAGCAGCAGCAGCAGCAGCTGGAGCGTTTGTTGCTGGCGCGCCAAAATGCTTGCTCTTCTAAACTACACTGCATGCACCGCTGCTTCCCTAGGTTCACTTTGCTGCTGCTGCTGCTGCTGCTGCTGCTGCTCGTTGGCGTCGATCGGCTGGTCATTCGTTTTTAAAGCCTGCAAAAAAAGAGCACAAAGACGCAGTCAGCTGCAGCAGCAGCAGCTGCAGCAGCAACAACTGCAGCAGCAGCAGCAACAGCAGCAGCAAAAAATCACCTCTTGATGCTCGTTTGCTTTGGGTGTCAGCAACTCAACAGAAGACAGCTGCATCACAGACACACAAGACAAACAGCAGCAAACAAAAAAGATGAAAATAAATAAATAAAACCAAATAAATAATAAGACAAACAAATAAATAAAATGAAACAAAATAAATAAATAAATAAATTCATTAACAAGTACATCAGGCAGCAGAAACGCATGCAGAGAAGGGCAAAAAGCGCGAGGCAAGCCTGCGCTTCTTCCCTGTTGTTAATGCTGCAGCAGCAGCAACAACAGCAGCAGCAGCAGCAACGCGAGTAGCAGCAACGAGCGCAGCAGAAGCAGCAGCAGCTACAAGAGCAGCAGCAGCAGCAGCAGCAGCAGCAAACCTGCTGAACAGAGCCGCACTGGCTGACATCAGCAGCAGCACCCCTCCCTTTGCGGCGCGCCCGGCGCAGTCGCCTGAGCAGCAGCAGCAGCAGCAGCAGCAGCAGCAGCAGCAGCAAGGAGGAAATAAATGAAAAACAATTAAAACAAAATCAAATAAAGGCAATTGAAAGAATAAAAAATAAAAACTAACATGTCAGCTGCAGCAGCAAATAAAGGCGGTCGCAAATATCCTCGGCATCTTCTTTTGTGCAGCACTAACGCTGCTGCTGCTCCTGCTGCTGCTGCTGCTAATAAGAATAATTAATAACAATACTAATAATAATAGGAATCGTAATAATTATTAATAATAAAGAGTAATAATAAAAAAAACAAATAATAATAATAATAACACTAATAATAATAATGATAATAATAATAATAAACCCTTGAACACTATATACACAAGAATGCAGTTTTACTAGAAAACCAGTAGGGTTTAGGGTTTAGGGTTTAGGGTTTGTACTTCTTGTCTATGACGATCCACTCCACGCAGGGCCGGTGTTTTGTTGAGGGGCTTCTTCGTTCGACCTGGGAGCAGCAGCAAGCAGCAGCAGCAGCAGCAGCAGCAACAGCAGCAGCAGGCTCCCTTGTTCCGTACAACTTCGGCAGCAGCAGTAGCGAAAGAAAACGCGAAGCAGCAACGGCAAGGAAGCCAGCAGCAGCAGCAGCAGCAAAAGAAACGGCAGCAGCGACGAAAGCAAAACAAAAAAGGGCAGCAGCAGCAAAAGCAAAAGCGGCAGAAACAGAAAAAGCAGTAGCAGCAGCAGCACGAGCGACAGCAAAAGAAGCAGCAGCAGCAGCAAGAGGAAAGACAAACGGAGAAGCAAACAGCGCCATAAACCAACGGAAGCAAAAAGGTCACTAGTAGCAGCAGCAGCAGCAAGGACAGCACTAGATCACAAACAGCAGAAGCAGCAGCAGCACATCAAGACTAGCAGCAGCAGCTGCAGCAGCTGCAGCAGCAGCATCGAAGAACAACAGCAGCACAAGATCGTCACCACGGTCAGTAGCAGCAGCACTTCATCTCCAGCAGCGGAAACAGCAGCAGCAGCAGCAGCTGCTGCTGCTGCTGCAGCACATCGCGACCAGCTGCGGCCCTAGATCATCAGCAGCAGCCGGAGCAGCAGCAGCAGCAGCAGCAAAAGCAGCAGCAGCAGCAGCTAACCTCCTCCTCAACGCGCATGGTGATGTAGTCGAAAGTAGTCATGTGGTGCCGCAGCAAATAAAGGTGCAGCAGCAGCAGCTGCAGCACGAGGCCCAAAACGGGGGCATTTAAAGCAATTGGAACAGCAGCAGCAAAATAAAACACCACAGCATTGTAGCCCCCATAGACCTGAGCAGCAGCAGCAGCAGCAGCAGCACACGCAGCTGGTGGCGCCTTTGCAGCAATTCAATTATTTACTTAATTCAATGAATTTAATCTAATTAAATAAATGAACTTAATTTGCTTAATTCAATTTAATAATTAACATGCAATGATACAAGTGGAATAAAAGCCGCAGCAAAGACACACATGCAGCATCAGCAGCAGCAGCAGCAGCTGCTGCTGCTGCAGCAGCAGCAGCACGAGGCGCAGCGGCGGAGCACTTCAAGTCCGGCACAAAAGACGGAGCCAATTCTTTTGCTGCCAAATAAAGAGTGCAGCACAAATTAAAAAATAGACAAATTTTAATCAACTTCGCGAGAAACAGCAGCAGCTAGCTAGCCAGATAGCTAGCTAGCTAGCTAGCTAGCTGGCTAGCTGGCTAGCTGGCTAGCTGCCTAAGCAGCTAGCCAGCGCTCTAGCTAGCTAGTCACGCATCTAGCTAGCCAGCTAGCTGGCTAGCTAGCTGGCTAGCTAGCCAGCTAGCTAGCTGGCTAGCTAGCTACGCGTGTGTGCTGCAGCAGCTTACTTGCTTCCAGTTTTCTCGGCAGCTGCCGCTGACAGCTTCAGCAATAATTTGGTAAAGAGGCACCGCCACCAGCAGCAGCACAGTTGCAGCAGCAGCAAACAACATGCCCACAAACGCCCTGCAGCAGCAGCAGCAGCAGCAGCAGCAGCAATGTGCACATTGACGATTTATCCGCTGCAGCGCCAGCAGCAGCAGCAGATACAGCAGCAGCATGAACAGCAACGCCAGCAGCAGCAGCAAAAGCAACACGCTCCTCGCAAAAGCAATCAGCAGCACAGTGGTCAAAGCCCGCGTGAGCAGCAGCAGCAGCAGCAGCAGCAGCAGCAGCAGACCCCACCAGCTACAGCAGCAGCGAAAGAGCAGCAGGAAACCACCAGAAGCAGCAAACCATGCGCAGCAACAGCAAACCACGAGCAGCAGCGGCAACATCAACATCAACAACAAAAACAAACAGCAACAACAGCAACAACAGCAGCAGCAGCAGCAACAAAAGCAACAAAAGCACAAACAATAAAAGCAGCAAGAGGAACAAAAACAGGAACAAAAACAACAACAACAAAACAGCAACACCACGAAAACCGCAGCGACAAAAACAACCCCAGCAGCAGCAGCAGCAGAAGCGCAGCAGCAGCAGCAGCAGCAGCAGCAGCAGCAGCAGCAGCAGCAGGTTTTGCCTGTAGTTGGCCTTGCCGACGCAGTTGTTGATCCAGACGCAGTGGTGGTCAAAGACATCGACGCATTTGTTGCAGGAGCGGCAGTGTTTGCTTCTTTCGAGAACTCCTCCGCAGCAGCAGCAGCAGCGGGTGGCTTCTGCTGCAGCAGCAGCTTGCTGCTGCAGCTGCTGCTGCAGCAGCGCCTCCCGCTGCTCGAGGCGGTCGCGCTGCTGCTGCAGCTGCTGCTGCTGCCCCGGCGCGCCGCCCGCGCCCGGGGCCGCGGGCGCGTCCGCCGCAGCAGCAGCAGCGTCAGCAGCAGCAGCAGCAGCAGCAGCAGCAGCAGGACAGTAAGGCCCGGAAGCAAAAGCCAAAGGGTCTATGGGGTCTGCTGCAGTGCACCTGTAGGCCAGGCAAAAGAGAGCGCAGCAGCAGCAGCCGAAGAGCACCCCACAGGCCAGCCTGAGGTGTACAGACACCGCAGGAACTGCCACCAAGTAGAACAGCAGCAAGTCAGCAGCAAATAAAACCCAGGAAGCAACTTGATAAACTTGAAAAGGTTTGCTGAATCCGTGTCTCCGGATGAACTCTCCGGGGGGCCTCGAGTCCGTCCGGTCGATCCACGTGCACAGCTGCTGCTGCTGCTGCTGCTGCTGCTGCTGCTGCCGGTACAGCGCCTCCGCGTAGCCGCCTCGCCCCCGTGCTGCTGCGCAGCAGCAGCAGCAGCAGTGCCCTGCTGCGGAGCAGCGCCCTGCTGCGGAGCACGAGTCGGCGGGCCCGCTGCTGCTGCTGCTGCCGCCGACGGAGACCCCAGCCAACGCCCCCGACTCCCGCTGCTGCTGCTGCGGCTGCTGCTGCTGCTGCTGCTGCTGCTGAGAGGGTGGGGGGGCCCCTGAGGGGGGCCCCCAGTTCCCTGGGGGCCCCTTTTGCAAACTGTGGAGCTGAATGCCGGCGTTGGCGCCGGGAGCCGGGGTGCTGCTGCCGCGGACATCCCGCGAGGGCCGTGCTGCTGCTGCTGCAGCGGGAGCAGCAGCAGCAGGAGCTGCAGCAGGGGAAGCCGCAGCAGCAGGAGCCGCAGCAGGGGGAGCCGCAGCAGCAGGAGCTGGAGCGGGAGCAGCGGCGGGGGGCGCAGCTGCAGCTTCGGCTGCGCCCGCCGCTGCGGCTTCCGCTGCTGCTGCCGGCCGCGCTGCTGCTGCTGCTGCTGCTGCTGGGGCGGGCGGAGGGCCAGGCGGCATGGCGGCTGCGCCTTGAGTCGGGGTGTGCAGCAGCAGCAGCAGATTCAGTTGGTGAGTATTTGGTTTGCTGTTGCTGTCATTCCCGCAGCTTATCGAGGCCCACGGGCAGCGCTGGAAAGACAAAAAGGGAAAAGAAAAAGAAAAGAAAAGAAAAAGAAATGAAATGAAGAGCAGCAGCGGAGAAGATCGGGTTTGTGCAGGTTGTTGAGGTGTCCAGACAGCTGGTGGCGGGCGGCGGCGTCGGGCGCGCGCAGGAGAGTTTCTGCGGTTGTTTTTTGCGAAATTGAAGGGGGAAAAGTTTAAAATTGATAATTTAATTAAATAAGAGCGTTTGATTGGCGAAAAAACGGAGAAGAGCGGCGTTCGGGACCCTCAGGCTCGCCGCCCGTCGGTGAGCGCAGCCGCGGCGCCCCTGCTGCTGCTCTCTTCCCACTTCAAACATAACTCTTTCCCTTTTTTTCTCCAAAATAGTGAATCTAAAAGCAGCAAATAAACAAAAAAAGAACTTTGATGCAAAAAAGGAAGAGCCACTCGGCCCTTTGCTGCTGCGGCGGTCTCGCAGGCTCTGCTGCTGCGCAGCTGGGGCCCGTGGCTGCGCCGCTGCCGCCGCCCGCCATCTTTTTCTTCTTTCTTTCCCTCTTTTTAATTCTATTTTCGTTTTTTTAATTTAATTAATCCTTTTTAAATCAAATTCGAAGACATACAACCCCCGGGGGCCCCCGGGGGCCCCCCAGGCCCCAGCAGAAGACAAATCCCGAAGCTGCTGCGCCCAGCAGCAGCAAAAGGAAGATCTGCACATCTCTCGGGTGTACGTACACCCCAGCTTGCGCCCCAACGCCCTCCTCGCAGCAGCAGCGACTCCGGGGTGTACGTACACCCCAGCGCACATGCACTGCTGCTCTCCCTCTCAAAGGGCAGCAGCAGCAAAACCCCACAAGTCAGCAGAAGCAAAAGAAGAACCAGCAGTGCCTCCGGCTACAGCTAGCTGCAGCTAGCTGTGGCTAGCTACGGCTAGCTTGCACTAGCTGCAGCTACCCGTGGCTAGCTGCAGCTTGCTGTGGCTAGCTGCAGCTAGCTGTGACTAGCTGCAGCTAGCTAGCGACAGCTAGCTAGCTGCCTGGTTCCGGCCGCAGCTAGCTAGCCCCAGCTGACTCTGGCTGCAGCTAGCTAGCTAGCTAGCTACCATCAGCCACGGCGAGCTGCAGCTAGCTAAAGCCAGCTACAGCTAGCTACAGCTAGCTAGAGCCAGCCAGCATTAGACAGAGCTAGCTGCAGCTAGCTGCAGCTAGCTGCAGCTAGCTGCAGCTAGCTGTAGCTAGCTGTAGCTAGCTAGAGAGGAGCTGTTTAGAAGCCCTTTCTGTGTGTGTCTGTGTGCTGCGGAGAAAAGAAAGGAAAGAAGGGCAAAAATAAAGAAAACTGAATTTAATTGCAACTTTACTTGGTAATTTGAAGATTAAAATGATTTAAATGAAATGATTTAAGTGAAATTAAATGTCTTCCGGCTTTGCGCAGAAGCAAAAAGAGCTACGCAGACACCCCAGGTGTCACCGCAGCTCGAGCGCCGGCGGATTTTTTTCCAACTTTTTAATTTCATTTAAATATTCAAATTCTTTTGAATTATTTTAACTATTTTAAATTTTTATTATTTTTATTATTTATTTAATTAGTTTAATTATTTAGTCAACTAAGTGCTGCTTTCCCCGCTGCAGCTGTTTGCGCATCTCTATTTCTTGTTTGCTGTTAATACCATTATAATTGTTTTATTCATTATTACTTCATTTTAACTCTTTTAATTATTCTAATTGTTTTAATTATTTGAATTATTTAAATCATTTAGTTTGTTTATTTTTTTTGTCTTTTTTGTTTCAATTCAGAAAGCTGCTTCATTTGAAGGCGCGCATGCAGCACATTCAATTTATTTCGAAGTTGCAAATGTGAATTTATTTTATTTTGCCTTATTTTATTTTATTTTATTTTATTTTATTTTATTTCATTTTATTTGCTTTCATCACAAATAAATAAGCGATAATCCATTTTCTGTTCATCCCTCAAGTCTGCACTTTTACGTGGTTGTACATACACCCGGAGGCCCTAGGGTTTAGGGTTTAGGGTTTGGAGGTATAAATGGTTATGTGGCGCTGTTTGGTTGTCTGTTTTAAATGCAAATTAAAACTTTTTTGAAAAAATGAAAGTGAAAATTTGAAATTCAAATTTGCATTTTTGCTGCTGCGCACAAGCGCGCAGTGTACGTACACCTGAGAGCCTTCAAAATAAAAATGGAATTAAAAACAAATTTCAAATTAAACTTCAAACGATTTCAAATTAAACTTCAAATACTTTCAAATTAAACTTCAAATAATTTCAAATTTGTTTTTCTGCGAAACAAATGGAGCCCCAAAGGCGCCGGGGCCGCGGCGGCTGCTGAGGTGTACGTACACCTCAGCAGCAGGCCGCGCTGCTGCGGAGCTGTACGTACACCTCAGCGCCGCAGCCGCAGCAGCAGCAGCTCCTTTCAAAAATACCAGAACTTAAACAAATTGACAACTAGCAGACAAACAAAGTGCTGCCACCAGCAGCAGCAGCATCGGCAGGGCAGCTAGGAGCGGGCGCTAGCAGCGCCGGGAGCCCTCCGCGGCAGCAGCAGCAGCAGCAGCAACTGCTGCCGCTGCTGCTGCTGAAGCCCCAGACCTTCTTATCCGCAGCAAAGCTGCCCGCTGCAGCATCTGCAGCCCCAAGACATATCTGTCTATACACTGCGGGCCCTTGGCCTTCCCCGAGAGGGAGTCGGTGCTGCTGCCGGCCGCCCCCCCCGCTGCTGCTGCTGCTGCTGCTGCTGCTGCTGCTGGCAGCCTGCAGTGGCTGTAGGGCTGGCTGCAAAGGCCGCAAAAAGATCTCGTCGAGCGCAGCCGCCGCAGCCTGGCCCTCGCCTTTGCTGCTCTCGCTCTGCGAGAGCGCACCCGCACGACGCTGCTGCTTGCTGCTGCTGCTGCTGCTGCTGCTGCAGCAGGCGGGGGCGGCGCCAGCTGCAACCTGCTGCTTCCCCGCACCTCAGTGCTGCAGGGCTTAAAAGCTGCTGTGCTGAAAGCCCCCAAGTCCCCCCAGAGGCCTTCGCTGTTGCTGCTGCCCTTGCGCGGCTTTGCTGCTGCGCGCACCACCTTGCTGCTGCTGCTGCTGCTGCTGCTGCTGCTGCTGCTGGGTTGCAGGCGCGGGGACCCGAAGCCGTGCTTGCACCACCAAAGGCCCACAGAAAGAACGGCCAGGGCCAAAAGGCTCAGCACCACAATGACATATACTGCTGTTGCCTCTGGCCTGTGGCTTTGCTGCTGCTGCTGCTGCTGCTGCAGCGAAGCCTCGGGCCCGTCTGCTGCAGTGCGCAGGCGCCTGAGAGGCTCCACATGAATCATATTTCTCTATTTGGCATTAAAAGAAATGAAGAAACAAAAGCGGCTCGGCGGGGAGCTCACCGGCGCCTGTCTGTACACCTGAAGGCCTGCAGCAAGCAGGCGGGCTGCTGCTGCGCTGCAGCAGCAGCAGAGGCGCAGGCGAAAGCAGCAGCAGCAGCAGCAAACAACTTGCTGCCTTCCGCGCAGCAGGGCTTTCTGCTGGCAGCAGCAAGAGCCAATTCACTCATAAGGGGGACCGGGGGGCTTCTGGCCCCCTGGGGCGCCGCAGAGCATTGCTGCTGCAGCAGCAGCAGCAGCAGCAGCAAGCCACCCGCGGGAAGCCGCTTTGCTGCTGCAGCTCTCGAGGCCCCGGAGCGCCAGCCCGGCCATTGAAGTCAAACTGCTGCGCTGCTCATATCTGAAAAGCAGCTGGCAGCAAACAGGGGAGAGAGCAGCAGCAGCAGCTTCTGGCTGTGGGGCGGGGCGAAAACTAGGGGGAAACTTGGTGCTGCGCTGCTCCGAGGCGCCAAAATTGATTTCAGTTGAATTTAAAAAAGAAAAAACGCAGAAAAGAATTTAATGGCGAGCGTAAGCTCGTGGACGCCGCGCTGGACGGCGGAGCTGCAGCGGCGCGCTGTACATACACCGCGCGCACCGGCGACAGAAACCAACGCGATCTTCCGGTAAAAGACCGCCAGCGGCGAATAAAAGCTTTTTAAAACCGGAAAAACTAATATATAAATTGTTTTAAAGGCGAAAGGCGGCGGTGGAGGGGCCTGGGGCGCAGCCCCCAGCTGCGCGGGCGAAGAGCAGTGGTGCACACGGTCCTCGATCGTTTGCGCCGTCCCGGCCGCCGCGCCCGTCTGCGCCTCCCCGTTTTGAATTTGGATTCTTTTATTAAAAAGAAAAATCAAAAAAGGACAAAAAATAGATTTTATTTCGGCGTTTTTGTATCCGCGAAGGCGCGCAGCCCGCCGCGCCCGCGAAGGCACACCCGCACGCCGCGGCAGTGCGCCGACGCGACGAGCACTCTGCGCTGATCGAGGCTTAAAAGCTGCACAAATTCGAAATACTTTTTTTAATTATTCTTTTTTATTTAAAATAAATCCATTTATCAAAAAAAAATTAGCTTTACGCGCTGTTTCCCCCCTAGCCCGCACCTGCACACCCCAGCAGCACTTCTACAGGCAGCCGCTGCAGCCGCCGCCCAAAGAGCCCCTAACCCTAAACCCTAAACCCTAAACCCTAAACCCTGAATCCTGAACCCTCAGCGCAGTCTGTCGTTGCGCAGCCGCGCGGGATCAGGCCCCCCAGTGTACGTACACCCGAGCCTCACTGAAGTTGAATTCAAAAAAGTAATTTTTGAATCCAAAAATCTAATCTTACTTTTAGTGCAAAAGATTGAATATATTTTCTAAAATAAAAAAATAAAAATTACTTCTGTGGTTGTTTATATGTGCTGCTGTTCATTGCTGCCTGCTGGCAGCAGACTGAGCAGCAAGAGCAGCAGCAGCAGCAGCAGCAGACCGCGCAGCAATGGCAGCAGCAGCAGCAGGCTGCGCAGCAAGAGCAGCAGTGGCAGCAGCAGCAAAATCTCGATTTGGATTGAGTCTGTGTGCAGCAGTCCGACCCAGCTTGCAGCTTCGGCTGTTGCTGCTGCTGCGGCTCTTGCCGCTGCTGCTGCTGCTGCTGCTGCGGTCGCTGCTTCTGTCGCTGCTGCTGCTGCCGCTGCTGCTCTCGCTGCTGCTGCCGCCGCTCCGGCTGCTGCTGGCGCGTTTCTGGCTGCTGCTGGCGCGTTTCTGGCTGCTGCTGCCGCCGCTCTGGCTGCTGCCCCCGCTGCTGCTGCTCTGCTGCTGCTGCTGCTGCTGCTGCTGCTGCTGCTAGGTGTGGTACTTGAGCAGCACTGGAAAAAAAGAATTAAAAACTTCTTCAACTTCTGCTTCCGCGCGGCAGCCAGTTATAACAACTTTGCCGCTGACGAAAATCAGCAGCACGGCCTTCAGCGAAGGCGTGGGGCTGTAGCGGTACACCAGCCCTGCAGCACAAACCCTAAACCCTAAACCCTAAACCCTAAACCCTAAACCCTAGCTGCTTCGCCGAGGCGCGGCGAAGCAGGCGCCACAGCCAGGCCCGCAGCAGCGGGCGAGCACCCGGCCGCCGCAGCTCCCAAACCCCGAACCCCAAACCCTAAACCCTAAACCCTAAACCCTAAACCCTGCCTGCGAAGAGCTCGGGCTCGTAGCTGCAGAACTCTTTGTGGTCGAAGGCCAAACCCTCAAGCCTCACTGGGAGGCCGCAGTCTGCTGTTGCAACAATATTTTCTACGGCGAAGTCCGCGAGCCTTATGCTGCTGCAGTTCTGTTTGCTGCTGCTGCTGCTGCTGCTCTGTTTGCTGCTGCAGATCTGCTTGCTGCTGCAGTTCTCTGTGCTACTCTGGGGGGCCCCCTGCGCGGCTGCTGGGGCCCCCAGGGCCTTTTCAGGGGAGGGGGGCCCCTCTCGCACTGCCAGTTGCTGCTGCTCGGGGGCTGCAGCAGCAGCAGCAGCAGCACCAGCAGCGGCGGCTGCTGCTGCTGGCGCGGAGGCTGCTCCTGCTGCTGCTGCTGCTGCTGCTGTTGCAGTGCTGCTCTCGCTGCTCTCGGACAGCAGCGCCAGGGGCCCTGCTGCTGCTGCCGGGTCCCCCGGCGCCTCCTGCGTCTCCGGCGGCGGCAGCTGCAGCAGCTGCAGCAGCTGCTGCGGCTCCGCAGCAGCAGCAGCAGCAGCAGCAACAGGCGGTTTGGGGCAAAATATGGCCTGCAGCATTTTGACCAGCAGCCGCGCGGCCCGCAGCGCCGCGGCTTCGCTCTGGGCGCCGGTGAGCATAACTCGGCCTGCAGCGCGCGGAATCGGGCGAAAGGAGTCGAAAATTAATTTTAAAATTGAAAACAAATAAGAAATTAATAATATAAAAGTCTAAAAACAAATAAATGACGACAGATCGGCGGCGCGCGAGCAGCTTCGCCGGCGGCGCCGCGCGGAGAGCTGCCTATACACCTGAAAACGACGCGCCGCGGGGGGCTCTTTCGGGCGATTTTGCGGGTCATTTTAAAACATAAAAAGAGAAAAAAGAAACAAAATAAAATAAAATAGCGTTAAAAGGACAAATGGGAGGAAAAAGGGGAAAATCGCACCTGATCGGAATATCATGGCGGTGCAGCGCGGCCGCCGCAGCCGCACTATGCATGCGTTCACCTTCCGCGGGTTGTACTCTGCAAATCTGCAGCTAATTGCAATTCTGCGGAGGTCTAAAGACCCCCGCGGGCCCTCCAGCACGAACCGCCCGCTGGCTATTACGTTCTGCACCTGCACCGGCTGCTGCTGCTGCTGCGCCGCGCCCGCAGCAACCGCTGCTGCTGCTGCTGCTGCTGCTGCGCCCCCGCCGCCCACCGACAGCAGCTCGTGCCCGCCCCCAGCTGCTGCTGCACTGGGGGAGAGCCCGGGGGCCCCCGGGGCCCCGGGGGCCCCGGGGGTCCCGGGGGCCCCCGGAGATCCTGGGGGCCCCGGGGGCCCCAGGGGGCCCCCCAGGGCGGTGGGGGAGAGCCCCGCGAGCTCCGCTAAGGCGGAGTTGGAGGCGGCGTCGGAGTCTGCTGCTGCTGCTGCTGCTTCTGCTGCTGCTGAGGCCCCCTCTGGCAGCAGCAGCGCCATCAAACTGTCTTCAAGTGCTGCAGCATCTTCGCTTTGCTGCTGCTGCTGCTGCGCTGCTTGCTGCAGCGGAGAAGCAGGGGCCCGCCTTTTGCGCCTTAAGATGGAGTTGTCTGCGTCTTCGGGGTCTCCCGGTGGCAGCATTTTGCAGCAGCAAATGGAAAAAAGAGGAGAAACTGGCGCAAGAGCTGCTAGCAGCAGCTAAGGGAATAGCAGAGAGAGATGCAGCAGCAAATAAGATCCAAAAAGCGGAAAAAAGGGGGGGGAAACAAAAAAAATAAACCCAATTTCGAGACTTTTGCTGCTGCAGCTCAAGGGGCCCCCCGTGCTGCTGCGGGGCCCCTGAAGGCAGCACACCCAAGCTGCAGCTCGAGCCCCTGCATTTGCTGCTACTGCTGCTGCTGCTGCTGACAGCTTCTGCAGCGCAGCAGCAGCAAACTGAATTAAATGACCAACACGGAGAGGGCTAGGCCGCGGAGAGAGTGGGCGCTGAGGTGTACGTACACCTCATGCGCGTGAGGTAGCTGGCAGCAACAAACGCTGCTGTCGGCGGAGCAGAAACAGCAGCAGCAGCAGCAGCTGACAACCAGGAATAAATAACTATTTTAAATTTAATTAAATAATAAATTAAAAAGAAGAAAAACAAAAAAAAGAATTCGGCTGGCGCGGCTGCAAGCCGCGGCGTGGCGGCGCCGGGGCGCCCTGGGACGCAGACCAGCGGAAATGGCGAAGATTCTCGTTTAAATTGAAATTAAATTAAATTAAAATATCGATTTAATTAAATTTCAACGTTTAAAAGGAAAAAAGAACAATAAAAGTGCCTTTCTATCCTCTGATCGCCGCATGCAGCCCCAGCGCAGTCCCGCTACAGCGCGCCCTAGCACAGACGCAGCAGCCAGCCCGCCGCTATACTTTTAACCCTCAGAAACCCTAAACCCTAAACCCTAAACCCTAAGCCCTAAAACCTAGGGTTTTCCCCTGCACAGCTTCCCAACGCCAGCTGCAGCAGAAAGTGTGTGACCAAACAGCAACAGCAGCAGCAGCAGCAACGGCAGCAGCAATGGTTGGAGAATACCGAAAATGGCAGAGGGGGTACCGAGCTCGAATTCACTGGCCGTCGTTTTACAACGTCGTGACTGGGAAAACCCTGGCGTTACCCAACTTAATCGCCTTGCAGCACATCCCCCTTTCGCCAGCTGGCGTAATAGCGAAGAGGCCCGCACCGATCGCCCTTCCCAACAGTTGCGCAGCCTGAATGGCGAATGGCGCCTGATGCGGTATTTTCTCCTTACGCATCTGTGCGGTATTTCACACCGCATATGGTGCACTCTCAGTACAATCTGCTCTGATGCCGCATAGTTAAGCCAGCCCCGACACCCGCCAACACCCGCTGACGCGCCCTGACGGGCTTGTCTGCTCCCGGCATCCGCTTACAGACAAGCTGTGACCGTCTCCGGGAGCTGCATGTGTCAGAGGTTTTCACCGTCATCACCGAAACGCGCGAGACGAAAGGGCCTCGTGATACGCCTATTTTTATAGGTTAATGTCATGATAATAATGGTTTCTTAGACGTCAGGTGGCACTTTTCGGGGAAATGTGCGCGGA